AATATACAAAATAAGTGATGCACAGCACAATTGCTCACCACCCAGAGCCAATGCTGCCTCCTGGCCAGCTCCCCCAGTTATATACAGAGCATGATGTCATATGGTATGGAATATCCCTTTGGCCAGTCCGGGTCAGCTGTCCTGGTTGTGTCCCCTCCCGGCTTCTTGGGTGCCCCACCACCAGCACCTTCTCGCTGGCAGGCCAGCATGAGAAGCTGAAAAGTCCTTGACTGCTTGGCGGCAACTAAAATACTGTTGTGTTATCAACATTATTCTCATCCTAAATCCAAAACACAGCACTGTACCAGCTGCTAGAAAGAAAGTTAACTCTATCCCGACTGAAACCAGGACACTGTAGTAACAGAGTACTTACACAAGAGCACAGTGTGGTACAACTTGCTAAGTTGTGCAGATTTTTGCTCAAGACAATACTCAAAAACATCCTTTCCTCGGGTAAGGATCCAACAGCTGAGTTACTTTTATAGCATATTTGTAGTTTCTTTCTTTGCTTGTTGGAGGAAATGCATGCATGGCTGGATTTCTTTTGTTATTAACGCATCCTCTTATGTTAATATCCCATGTTACTATCCTCATTATGAAAACTGATTTGTTTTGTGGATGTCTTGTTTATCATATCGCTCTTGTGAAGCCTGCTAATGCAGGGGAGAAAGTAATCACTAGCAAATACATAATGCAGAAGCTAAATACGATCATACTGAAATATTACGTGCTATCATATATTACATGAAATCTTGCTTTACATATTGACGTGATAGTAAGGAATTATTCTACTTTATATGCACTTGTGTTTGTTACCAAAATTGTAATTAAAAGTACAGGCACAGAATACAGAAATACTGAAGAATTTTGGAATCATAGTTATTTTACCAGTGAATGTCTTTCAGTTGATAACATACATGATATTTCATATTCTGAGACTAAATTTACTAGTGCATTAAATAGGTTGCAACTTTAATCATAAGTCATAGCAAAATACACATTTGTTGCTTTAAAGTAGTTCAGTGGAATTAGTGAAAGCAGCCTAGATCCCCTCATAAGCTATCTGAAGCTAAGCCAAAAATAGTGGATGTTAATTCCATTTCTATCCTAATCCTTTCTCTGCTTGTCTAACAATTTTCTATATATTCATAGTGGGATATCTGCCTCAAAGTTCATGCTTTCTTGTTTGTGTATTTAGGTGCAGATTTCCTTTGAATTTCAAAACAAAAATCTCTCAGATCAACTGAGAATCTGCGATAGGTATGTTTGAGTAAAAATACTTTCCTATAGATTATGTATTTACTTTTTAAAAAACAGTTAAGCAAAGCAGACTTTTCCACCCAACATGCACAAAAAAAAAGTTGTTCCAGGTCCCTAAGTACCCACTAAGTCAGCTGTATTTATATCCATGTTTCACACAGGTAATCCATTCCCAATTAGGTGATTCACAAAATACAATGACATTGCATGACTGTGAAATTAGAGAGGTTCCATGTTTTGGTTTGGGGTTTTTTTTGGTTGTTGTTTTAAAAAGTTTGTCACAGCATTTTCCGTACCTGCTGCCAATGCCTCCCTGGTATGTGTGTTGGTATGGCCATCCAGACACTTTTGCCATTACCAAAGTCCTGGAAAGAAGGGCACCGCGTGTGCAGGTTTGCTCTGGGTTTATGCCGTTAGTAAGTTTGTGTTTCTGCAACAGGGAGTGGTCTTCTGTTTCCTCCCTGTGCTGACGTTAGTGATCGGTGTGGCTGGATTGATGATTTGATGTAGTGAGAGCTAAGCCAGTTTAAAAAAAAAAAAAAAATCAGAGTCAGCAAGCTGATGTAGTTTGTGGGACATCCGCATGCTCACTTCTGTCTCTGTGAAATGCTGTGGCAACATTTGGCTGCAGAAGAGGTGAGGAAAGGCCGGGTCTCTCAAGCATTGATTTGTTTTGCAGCCATCACCCTCCATGCAGAGCTCCACTTGCGCAGCTCTGGCTCAGGGCCCTGCCTCTGCCAGGGGGCAAAATGTGCTGGTTGTGTAAGAGCTCAAAGGTCTTTCCAGAGTGGGGAAAAGGAGCAGGGAATGGAGAGGGGAAGCAATTGGCAGCCTATAAATGGGAAAGTGTTCAGGCTGTCCGGGAAAACGTAACTTTGGATTTCAACACGATAGGAAAGTGCGTTATTCTAAAGAAAGCTGATTCATCTTGTTTGAATGGGGCTTTGTTTTCTTTTTTACCATTTTTTTCCCCATCCTTAACCATGTCCTGAAGTATCAAGTGAGATGCTGTTTTACTGAACTGGTGATTGTTCCTCTTGTTTTTAAGGTCCAAAAGTCACAGGATAATTGTTACAATTGTGCTAGCACGGAACACTGGTCTATCTGAGCAGAGATGTTCAAATGCTGTTGGTAGTTGCTGGTTATAATGTTATATGCGTTTCTGTACATATGTAATATATGTAGCATTGGCCCATGTTTGGTCTTGATTTCAGCTGCAGTTGGAGCCTATGTGGGTGAGGCAAAAATAAATCTCTGCAGAGTTCTCCAAAGGTTTCATTGCAAACATCACACTGGATGTTGTTTGCAGTGATGTCAATATATTTGGACTGTTTCATTCATCTGAATGTGTTTCTTCACATTCAAGTGATGAATCAATCTCAAATTTGTATCACTTCCTCCAGTTACAGAGGTTTCTGCAGTTAATGCTACATAAAGAAGCCAATAGAGGTCTTGGTATCTGTGCATATATGCATATTTGAACCTTGTAAACTTTGTGAGAGAGCTCCTCAAAGTTTGCACAGCCTTATATCATCTGTAACTGGATATGTTTGAAGCTGCCTTTCACTTGAGACTCAATATTTGTGACTGAGGATTTCCATTAGTAACTGTTGTTTCATCCCAGTGTGTGTGAGAGCCTTTGCAGGTGTTATCTTTTAAAGAGATTAAATGTAAGGTCTTCACCTTGCAGACAGCTATGCTCTGGTGTTTAATCCTATTGACTCCCTTGAACTCTATGTGACAGACTATACTCATATGCGTAAGTGGCTGCTGGATAGATAACATGCTGGAGGAGATGAGTGAAGTGCTTTAAAACTGTCACTATCCCAGTTCTTGCTTCTTTTCTAAGTGTTGAGTGAGGTTTTGTGAGGGCTTTTGAAAAACATGCAGAAATACATTGATGTCCAGCCTGGCAAGAAGCGGTTGCTTTGACTGCAGCTGCACTCGGCAGCGCCTCTAGCCCAGGAATCTGAAATTCCATTCCCAGAAGAAAACACATGCTTTGGTGTTCTCCACAGGCTGGTGGCATCTGAGGACTCCCACAGGCCAGAGAGGGTGCATGGCGTACAGGGCAGGCTTGATGCGGGTGGAGTCTGTAATGAGTTTAACTTCTAACTGAACAAGCACATATGAAGGAGGGGAAACTGCCTTTTTTCTGCATACAGTCCAAATTTGAGCAAACCCTAATGCTAGAGGATACTACTGCCAATCACAAGTCCCTACTACACAGCCCACAATGAGAAGCTTCTCAAAGTCATCACAAACATTGTTATGTTTTAATGTTGTCTTGTTCAATTTAATTCCGTCATGGGAAAACAGCCAACGCAAGTGGATTTCAGGTGATGGGAAAATTGCAACCTGAACTATTAGCCTGGCAAAGGTAACAATGAGAATGGAATTACAAGTGTAAGCACTGATAGCTGTCTGGATCAGCAGTAGAGCTCTTGGTTTGTGGATGGAGCAAAAGGCGTGCTTTTCATCAGTTATGTTGGTAGATGACTCTTTGAGCCTGTAAATATCTTATTAAAAGGATCATATATTAAAAGCTTCTCACTGAGACGTTTCAATGTGAGCCCTTGCAGCCACTGGTCTCTTGGTGTTGTGAGTGAACTTTCCTGTTGCATTCACAGATTGCTTTTGTCCACCACGTGTACATGCTTGTCTTGTTTCACACATTCATTTTTATTTCAGTGAACTTGTGGATTCCCAAAGGTGATTGGCACAAGAAACCCAAACTATGCCCTTGAAGCACCTAACAGACTCTGTGCTGAGATGCAGGCTTTCTGTACAGCTCAGTGGTTCCTACGGGAGTTTCACCTCCAGCCTCTGACTGGATTCCTCTTTGCTGCTACATTCTATCCTCTAGAAAGCCCACTGACCCTGTTGTGGGCCAGCTGCGTGTCTTCGCCCCGTGTTTCCCAGCATCACTTGTTCTGGGAACACTGGCACTGATTCCACACGGGCCTGGCAGAGCTCATTTCCTGGGGTTTCATGTCATGTCTCCTCTGCACAGGTGATCAAAACAGTTTTGTCCGCATCTACTGTACACTTGGGAAAACAGTTGACTAAAATAGCAATCTTCTTATGACAGGAAATCCAGAGAAGCTTGTTTAGAAGGGTAGTGGGAAAAGGGAGAACTTGCTCTGTTGTTGAGGCTTTGTTAATGTTTGAAAGCTTCAGCAGTGATTGGATAACTTCCAAAATAGCAATGTCAAGAGACTAAAAACTGAACAGTTTTTTCATTTGATGATACAGTTAACACTGTAGGCTAATGAACACTGTGGGGAAAAGCTACCTTGTTTAAAAGTGCTTCTGTCTTTGCTTAAGTTATATGACATCTCTGGATGTCCTAAAAATGGCTCTGGTAATTTCAGGGGAGAACTTGGCAATGTTGAGATTGTTATTGTTAAAAAGTCGAAACCAAGATTTTTTTTTCTTCTGTGTTTTATGAAATTGAAAAAAAAAAAAACCAACAACAATAAAACCCCACAGAACTTAAATAAATCCTGAATCTAATTCAGGGAAAAACCCTTTGTGGAAACTGAAAATGGAAACTGGCCAGTCTGAGTACACAGAGACTACAGTACAGTGCTTTTTTAGAAGTATTTGTGAACTGTGAAAAGCAAGAAGCCCAAGCAGAAGATCAATAGGGATTATAGTTTCCAGTGCATATATTTCCTTCTCAATTTTTTTTTGTTTGTTTTTTCTCCACTATTTCTTGCAGATCTCTCTTTATTGCCATGTCAGCTGACGGCCACCAGCTCCACACTCATTCCTACCACAATGCACTAAGTTCTACTTGTCACGGTCTCTTGAATGTCAACAGTCACCCCCTGTCAAAGAGCTCCTCAAGTCTGGCCTGTACTGGGCAATCAAGTTTAGAGGAAAGGCAAAGCAACAAACAGGAGCTGAAGAAAAGCCACAGTAGCACCATCTGCCATACCCTGGAAAACGAGAGTGACGCCAGGAGTGTGCCGAGTCCTGGATGGTCCTCGCAGCATGGGGTGATGGGACTTGGATCAGTGGTCCAAACCATAAGCGATCAGTCAGACGATGACAATTCACAGAGCAGAACTAAGACTACAAACCATTGTCTTATCACTGAACAGTCCCCAGCATCTTGGGAAATGGGGGACACTAAGATGTGTGTAAAGAGCAGCACTGTTGAGAATGTTTCTTCAGCCTGCATTGTATACCAGCAAAGCGTGTGTGAAACTGCCCTTCAGAGAAGCCACTCAGACCTAACTTGCAGTTGCAAACAGCAGGCTTACGTCGCTCACATAGAAACCAGTCCTACTCACTCCGGCCTAAGCTCTTCTAGCTGCAGGCATGGTCCGCCAGTGGCTAGGATGTCTTTCCAAACACAGAGATATGGATCAGAAACAAATGCAAATGCATCTCACTGTCAAAACCTTGTGACTCATCTTCCAGTTCTACCTAGAGACCAAAAAGTACCCACAAATAGCTTCGACAGTGGTGGTATTCCACGTAATACTACTGTTTACACAGATCCTGGAACATTTCACACTGCTGTTCTAGGACCCCACATGCCTGGAAATGGTTTCTCAAACAGGACAATGTTCAGTCAAGCCACTGGGATTATGCATGGTGGTCTGGCTTATGGTAGTATTCCAAACTCTGCATACTCCCCCATGGTGATGACAGTTCATAACAATTCTGCAGGGCCCTGTAATATAAGGCAGGACGCTTGTATGAAAGTGGATGCTACTGTCCCCGCCTATTGCCATTCTTTGCCCATACCATCTATACAACTTGTTCCGCGGTTGGTATGTTTTTTGGCAACACCTGGCTATTTTCATTCCTTTTCTACTTCAGACATTCTGACATATCCTAAGCTGGTATCTTCAGTAAGTGAATCAGGCATGGATGCCAAGAGAGTCCTGAAGTGCTGTAGCATTCCGGGAGAACAACTGCAACATACTCACCACTGTGCTCAGCAAGAGAAAGCTCCTCCAGAAACAAAGGCTGCCTGTGTTGCCTTTAGCAGCCAGCAAGGTGCAGACATGGTAATGACAACTAAGGATATGTGGACTATGACCTCTATGAATGATTTAACTAAAGGACTGAAACCAGCTCTTGAGCGTAGAGATGCCGAGGTACAAACTCTTCCAACCATGGAATGCAAATCTGTGGCAACAAGCCCAGCAGCTGCAGCAGAAGGCCACCCACATGTGTTCCCGGAGGTGAACCTGGAGCAAGACTTGGAGGCACCGAAATCTCCAGTACGTGAAGTGAGATGGGATGACGAAGGAATGACATGGGAAGTGTATGGGGCATCTGTGGACCCAGAAGTCCTTGGGTTAGCCATTCAAAAACATCTGGAAATTCAAATAGAACAATTCCAGACAGAGCCTGCTCAGCTGGCTGGGAAAAGTAATGAGGAGCCATCTTCTGATAAAATGGGGAAAAAAAGGCCATTCAGAACAATGATGCATTCTCTGAGATATCCGAGCTGCTGTACTCGTTCCAGTACTGCAGTGGAGTGAGCACAGCTGTAGGGCAGCTGTAGGACAGCTGTGCTGCTCTTAAATTGTAAATAAATGCTGATTCTTACGTGTTAACACAATACATGTGGACAATCCACTTCAGGATAAGTGGGAAAAGTTCAAATACATATCAAAGCAAGGAAAAACCCGTGGCTGGGCCGTGTAACAGGACATAAGGTTGTACCTACATCATGCCATCTGAATGGACTTGACTGTATTTAATGTAGCACTGTTTTATTCTTCTATGTTAGTTTAAAATCATATTGTAAGGAATGAGACTTCTTTTCTAAATGATGTCTTTTTAAAATAATGATTTTTTTTTCTGTATTTTAATAATTTAGGTTTAGAAAACAAAATTAGAAAATGATGCTTTAATCAAAGTTCTTATCTTTCAATCCTACTCCCTTAAATTGCTTGGGAGCTACTTTGCTGTTAATTTATAATAACGCTGACTATAAGCCCACTTTAACTGTAGGCAAAATGACAAACTAGTGTAATGCTGTATGACAAAGAATTGTAAATTTTGCCACATAACTTGTGAAGTAATTTCGATATTGCTAGTCTGAACTCTTCCCTTTGCAAGCTGATGTACAGTTGGAGGATGCTCCTGCAACTTTCAAATTAGTTTGTAGTTATGATGAATTACATTCTAAATATCCAGAACTGATGTTTACCGAGTGATTGACACAAATGTACAGTATTACCAAAGATGACTCATGTAATGTGAATTACTTACCGAATGCTTGGTTTAGAGACATGAAGCAAAAGCTGCTCAGATTAGCCTGTCACGCTATCATACCCTACAAATCATAAGCAGTTTTGCTTTGCTTATATTAAAAGTAATTTCCAGTGACTTCTTTTTATGTGCATGTATCCTGAACAGTGGTTCTTTTGTTGTTGCATAAACCACAGGTGACAGTTTGTATGTACCCTTCCCTTGCCTTGTGTTCCCTATCCGGTCTGCTGTCAAGTCTGCTGAAAGTGAGACTTTGTGTCTTCACCACAGTACAGCTCTAAGGTTATTTGTTCCTAGTGCCTTGGTCACATGGGCAGCTTAAACATTTCTTTTCTCCCAAAACCAACTTTGCCAACAATTTCCCAGTGAGAAACCTTTTATGATACTGTAATGCAGCCGTAGTGCCGGGCACGTTTGAAGTGAAAGGTTTGTCAAGGAAGCTGAGACCATTATTTCATATATGGCCTTTGGTCAATGTCTAAGATTCTTCAGGAAACTAGGAGTGTGCAATATTTTTTGATGGAGAGAGAGGAGAAATATTCATTTCAGTCTCAAAGGAAGGCTTGCAATATCAGAGAACTTAGTGCTGTGGAATTATCCATTCTTTCTTTAAATCTGTGTGGTTGTGCTTTTGTTGTTTTGGTTTGGGTTTTGTTCCAGTAAGTAAGCAGGCTGGCTGCATAACATTCACCTGACATTTGTATATGAACAGGAGCCCCTGGTGCTTACGGCAGCTTTAAAATTTCACCTATAAAATCCTTAAATATAGGTCCTGCTAGCTGGAATGTGCTGTGATGCATCAATTTAATAGCGTAGAGTAGTTCAGGATCAAATTTTCATTCATGGACAAAGTGGAATTAAACAGAGCTGGCTGCTATAAATCTTGCTTTGAGTTCAGGAGGCTTCATTCACACCCTAGGACTTTGGCCTCAGTAAAGTCTGATCTCAAAATGAGTTTTATACAAACCAAGTCTTAAACCGCTGGAATACGATGCCTTACTCAGGATACATCTGTAGCTGTGAGCATCCAAGTTTTGATAATGATCCAAGATGTTGAAGTTCCTTTTGTTAAAACTTTACTAGAAGTAATGAGTAACTCAAAAACACTTCTGTTACTTAGCGTTTAGCTAAACAGTTTCTATATGGGCTTATTTTATGGTCCTGGGTATCATAAACAGTACCAAACATTGATGTCTTCCTTTCTTCAAATATTACACTTTGAGAATTTTAAGCATTATAGCAGCCTAAAACCTTGTGTTTGTTAGCTTGTCCTCAGGTGTGCAGGAAAATTAAAGATTTGAACAAACTACAGCTTTAAAATGGCGAGTGTACCTTGTGCCCATGACCATCGCAATCCATGCTTTCAAGCTATTTGACATGTGGAATAATCTTGATTCTCCTTCCCACCCCTGCCATCCCAAGCACCCTTCCAAAATAAAGCCCCCAACTCTAGGAAGATGATAAAGTAGGACCAGTATCAACCCGGTCAGAGAGAGAGAGAGTTTGCAGAAGGGACGGGAACAATATGGCAAAGTTGTTTGGGTGCTTTGGCTCTTGTATACTTGTGGTGGGTTGACCCTGGCTGAGGGCCAGGTGCCCACCAGAGCTGCTCTATCACTCCCCTCTTTCATTAGACAGGGGAGAAAAGGTACAATGAAAAAAAAACTTACGGGTCGAGATAAGGACAGGGAGAGATCATTCCCTAATTATCATCACGAGCAAAACAGACCGAACTTAGAGAGGGAATTCATCTCGTTTATTACTAAGCAAAACAGAGTAGAGGAATGAGAAATAAAACCAAATCTTAAAAACACCTCCCCCCACCCCTCCCATCTTCCC